ACCGAGACACGTTTTTGGTCAATAACCAATAGCGGAACCTGGATGCTCATATTGGTTGCCACATATTCTATGAAGACCATTATCGGTCAAACTGCATAACTACATATGTTGTTCCCTTTGTCACCGGTATGTTACTTGCCCGAGATTCGATCGTCGGTATCTGAAATACCTAGTTCAATCTCGTTACCGGCAAGTCTCTTTACTCGTTTATGTAATGAATCATCCCGCAACTAACTCATTAGTCACATTGCTTGCAAGGCTTATAGTGATGTGCATTACCGAGAGGGCCCAGAGATACCTCTCCGACAATCGGAGTGACAAATCCTAATCTCGAAATACGTCAACTCAACAAGTACCTTCGGAGACACCTGTAGAGCACCTTTATAATCACCCAGTTACGTTGTGAAATTTGGTAGCACACAAAGTGTTCCTCTGGTAAGCGGGAGTTACATAATCTCATAGTTAGGGATGAAAACGGAGCGGAAACGGACGGAATTGAGTGCTATTATATTTGTTTTCACATTTTTTTGCAGAAGCAGAAACGAATACAGAAACCCCGGAAATGAATACGAAAACAGATACTACCAAAAACGGACACGGAGCGAATACAAAGCAGATACGGAAACTGAAATTGGCATTGATCGGAACTTAAAAACCCCTTGAATCATAGAGAAATACACACAAAAACAAAAATTAATGAGTTGTTAATATGGCTACAAAATAATATCATTATGTTAGCAACTGAGCGTAGTATTTTATTAGTACCGGACAATTGCGTATAAGGTCAAGCTGAGTACATGTGTAGTAATAGAAGTTGGGCCTCAGATCCATTCTACTAATTGTGTCATTGTGTTCTCTTTGGTGGTTGGGCTACAAAGCAGCTATAGGTCTATAGTAAAAACAGAAATTCCGTATTCACGGAAACGGAAAGTTCTGTTTCCATGCATGTTCCACCGGAAAACACCGTTCCGTTTTTGTTTCCGTTTCCGCATAAAAAATTCCATTTCCACTTTCGTTTTGCAAATTTCCATTTCCGTTTTCATATTTCCTCTCCGTTTCCATTTTTCCTCCGAAAAAACGGAAAGTTTCCACTCCATTTTCATCCCTACTCATAGTCATAGGAACATGTATAAGTCATGAAGAAAGCAATAGCAACATACTAAACGATCAAGTGTTAAGCTAACGAAATGGGTCAAGTCAATCACATCATTCTTATAATGATGTGATCCCATTGATCAAATGATAACTCATATCTATGGTTAGGAAACTCAACCATCTTTGATCAATGACCTAGTCTAGTAGAGGCATACTAGTGACACTATGTTTGTGTATGTATTCACACATGTATTATGTTTCTGGTTAATACAATTCTAGCATGAATAATAAACATTTATCATGATATGAGGAAATAAATAATAACTTTATTATTGCCTCTAGGGCATATTTCCTTCACTCTATCCCAAGTATGCTATATGTATGGTATTTCGGTGCTATGATCCAAGATGATCGGATATGACAATCTTAATATAGTATGATGCTATGCTTCTTGCTTATAAGCTCTTTGCTTATCTTACCTCTTTGCTTAAAAGCTTGGGTGGCTCTTTCACTTTTGAGCTCTTTTCTCATGCAAAACTTCACGAACCAAGATAGCAATTTTGTGTGCGATGACAACTTTGTGACACAAAAATGATGCCAAGATATGCACCACTATGGTATGGTATGTATGCTATGGAGTATGATCACTAATGTGCACAAGTCACGTTGCCAGCAATACTCAATGGCTAGTCTCGATGGGTAAGCTACGCAAAAGTAAGGCCATGTGGGTATCAATGCAATTGCAAGGTATGACAAAGATGTCGCCGAGGTTACCGTCCTTGGCGATGATGAGTAGTCAATGGAGATGAGCGGTGGTCATGTTGACGTTGAACCGTACCTATATAGCTGAAACACAATAGGACACGGGAACCACAACCCAAAATCTCAAAGACCAAAACGTGTCAAAACCGTCATAGGAGGTAGCGGTGAGCGGTGGTGGTGCTTGCGGAAAGCGGTGGTGGTATGCGGAAGTATGCGTGAGCACCGAGGCAAAATTTGGCGAAACTAGGTGGAAAATGGCGCGGGGAAATGGAGTTGCTGCAGCCAGGGGCCGGATGTCCGGGATACCGGATGTCCGGGGACTCGGGCGGATGTCCGGGCTCCTGGATCGTGGACGAACTCGATGAACTCCACGGGAAAAAGGGCACTCCGGGGCAAAATTCGGACAAATTTGTGGATGGAAATTGCGGGAGAGATGGGGAAAAGCTAGATCCACTCGATGCAAAGCAGATCGGTGGATCAAATCCAACAAAATTTCATCACACCAACAAATCACAAAAAATGGGGCTATTTTTGGTGGGGATTTTCGGATTTAGGACGAAAACAACAAAATCAAGCTAGAAAACATGGGGTAGGGGCTCCAAAAACGTGATCAACGTGGCTCATGATGCCAAGATAATGTAGGGTGGAACCCTAGGGGCCGATCTTTCACGTTTGGAGAGGATCCCTACTGGGAACACGAAGAACGCACGGAAGAACACGAGGGAAATCACGGGGGAAAACAAGAGAAACACTCAACCGACACGAATATGATCACACAAGTGCTAGATCATCGAGGCACAAAGTAACACGAGATCCAAAGTCAACAAGGGACGATACAAGAGTAATTGTTCTTCTCCGTGAGGAGGTCTTGATTGTCTTCTCCGGGTGGAGGTCTTTAATCCGGGTGGATCTTCTCCGAAGAGGTGCGGTGCCTCACGAGGAGTAGATCAGGTAAGGATGAGAAATGCTCTATCTCAAATGATCTAAACCAATGCTAACCCTAAAACGAGGATGAAGGAGGAGTATATATAGTCTAGGGGGCGAAGGGGTACACGGGCCACGACCCTTACACTGTTCGCAAACAGGGAAGGCCGTATGTTCGGGTGACGGGTCGGATGTCCGGGCGTCGGGTCGGATGTCCGGGCGCTCGCGAGGGGCCGGATGTGCGGGCTGAGGGGCCGGATGTCCGGGCTGGAGGAGACGGCCTTGCTGTTCTCTGGTTAGATGAGGCCGGATGTCCGGGGCTTCCGGAGGAGCCGGATGTCCGGGTTCTCGGGGCAGCCTTCTGTGCTCCCTGGACGGCCTGTCCGGATGTCTGGTCAGGAGGCCGGATTTCTGGGGCGGAGGGCCGGATGTCCGGGCTGGACGCCGGATGTCCGGGCCCTGTAGCTTCTGCTGCAGACTCCTGGCTGTGGTGTAGATCTCCAGTGGCCGGATGTCCAGTGCCTGGAAGCTGTTCTCGCCTTCTTCCGTTGGTTCTCTTCTTTTGTGGACTTGGTGGCTTGATCATCTTCATGTGCATCCTCGGAAGGGTCCTCTTGGTACCTAATCATGCACACCATTCCGGACTTAGGTAGTAGCCATGTCTCGAGAGGATCATATGAGATATCAATAAGGAGAGAAGTCACCTCGGTCTCGAGAGCTCTAGCTCTTGCTCTTGTCATGGGTCCTCTTGGTACTTGGTGAGACGATGGTAGATCCATGGGGATGACAGAAGGATGCTCCGCATCACATGTATTCCCTATGTCTGGCAGCCCGCTCGTCAGACTGCCCTCAGCCCCGGAGGGGTATGCTTCAGCGGGAGGAGAAGAGCAACCTCCCTCCGCCGCCGCGAAGCACGGATAACAATTGGTTTTTTGGACGAGGGAAGACGGTCGTTGTGGTCTACGCCCCCCTCACCGGTCAAGTCACCTACTATGTTACTCGGTGACACGGTGGCGGTGGCCTTCCTGGGACCTAAGCAGCGACGGCCTCCCATGATCTACTTTTTCTCACTGTCTGCAATGGGCGCAGACGTACCATCCTCCGCGAACATGGCATCCCCCCCCCCCTTGTGTGACGCGTTGCCGCCATTGCTCGCGACAGATTTGCCAGGAGACGGTGTTGGCAAGCCTGGACAGGTGAGGATGAATTGTAATGGCGGTGACGCCCGCACCAGAGAGTTCGCCGGCAAGCCAGCCTATATCCAGTTGGCTCGCCGGGTAAACCAGGCCGCTCCAATGCCAAAGAACTCCTTCTTTTGCTCACCGGAGAGGCCATCCCACAAGACTTTCGAGTCGGAGGCCATAACGAGTGTGGTACAAGGAGGAGATGGGGCGGAGGGGTGTGGTGTGGTCATTGCCCGGCGCTTGGCCACGTTTAAATAGCGGGTGGATGTGAGTCACCAATCGGAGAGGTGTTTAACGCCTGCCAGCACAAGGACGGGCGTGTGGTGCTGGGGGCGCCGGAGTAGGTTTCTCGGCACACGCGCTGGTTTAATGGGGGTTGGCGAGCAGACGGTCGCGGTGTCGATGCAGAGAGAATGCATGCTCAGCGGGCGTACAACAGGCAGCGCTCACGGCCGGTGAGCCGCTTCAATGTCGGCTCCAGTGAGCCGTCCCGTCCGCTCTGGGCCGGCATGAATGCGGATAGGTGGCTTCGGGCGCGGGAGAGGGGGTTGTTGGTGGGCCACGGTTGTCAAGCGTGGCCGTGGCAGCGGTCCGAACGCCCGCAAAGCCCCCTAGTTTGTTTTTGGTTTGTGAGGGGAAAAACATGTCCAGGTGGTTGGCGGACGGATAGAGGAACATGTTGGATGACAAAACACGTCTAGACCGCATGGTTCAGACGGTTGCAGGCGATTTGAGGATCGACGCTGGAGATGCCCTTAATGCACACTATTAAGGATATCTTTGGTCCGCACGAGTTTCACAGAAAACAGCTGAGTTTTCGTTAGGATCTCTTTTCCGATTTTCTGCCCTGATCACAGAAATGTGCATGACTTGACAGCAAATGTTATAGTAACAGTAACATTCAACCTCAAGTACTTGGTCCGCACAATTAACCTAAGGTCGCCACAGAAACAATTGTAACCTAGTTAAGGACTAGGCATTTTACAATCAGTGAACCGATGAAATTACCAGATTCAGAGCTAAACTCAACTTTATTCATGTCGACACGATCTTGGTGGCCGTGGATCCTGGAGAACCCTTGAGCTTCTTTGCGATCCCCGCAAAGTATTTCCCTTGGTGGAAGGCCTGTTGCAGCTCAAGCTCAGTGGGAACTCGTGATCCATCCCCAGCAATGGTGCCAAACCCATACGGGCTGCCACCCTTCACCTGCCCCATCTCAAACATGCCTGCGCCAAACGTGTACCCGACCGGAACAAAGAGCATGCCATGGTGCACCAGCTGAGTAATGGCCGTCAACCTACAAGATCAGCAACAAACTAATTAGATAATCTAATTTCCATGACAAATCAACAAAGGAAGAAGGAATCTTACGCGGTGGTTTCTTGGCCACCGCCCTGGCAACCGGAGGAGAAGAACAATGCGGCAGGCTTGCCGGCGAGCCGCTGCAGGCACCACAGCTCACTGGTGCCGTCCATGAACGCCTTGAACTGCGTGGGCATCATGCCGAATCTAGTGGGGAACCCGAAGATGAGGCCGTCGGCGTCGGCGAGCTCTGCGGGCGAGATGACCGGCACGTCATCCCTCTTCGCAGGAGCGCCCATCTTTGCGAGTGCTTCGTCAGAAAGAGTCTCCGGGACCTGCAGTATATTCAGAGTATCGGATGGTGTTTGTATCAACAGGCGGGAAAAAAATCATTCGGCAATTTGAAAACTATATAGCGGTAGTTCATCTCAGTATATATCTTAATCGGTATATATACAGATAGAACGTTGTGTAATCACCTGCCATAGCTTGACCTCGACACCTTCGACGGACGACACGCCCTTCAGAATCTCATCTGCTAGCTTGGCCACATGGCCATAGGTGGAGTAGTACCTAAAGAATGTGTAAGTTCATGAATGAAGATCTTGTAGGATTGGATTTGCTTTTGTTTTTGGTACACAATAGATAATACTCCACAGAATTGGGAAGTAGATCAATGATTTCAACGGTTAATGTAATGTGGCTGTTGAAAAGCCAAGTTTTGCAACGATCTCTGCTTGAACCACACGCTGAGCAGTGAGCAACTTCCGTTGGTGTCCTGGCCTGAACTGACACAGCTCGTCTCCATCTCAGGATGTTTTTTTCTCTGCCACTATTGCGCAAACAATCACTGAGCAGTTGAGCAATGCTGGCTGCTTTCCCTATGATTTGGTTTCGAAAGTCTGAACCCCAGGGGAACAGAGTAACGGAGCAACTGAGCGCTCGAACTAACCAACTCCGATGTACACTCCTAAATGCAGCGTCAGGGATTCCCCCAAGAAAGTACTGTAAATCAGCCAAGTGAGTAATCAAAAAGGCCATAATCTCGCCGCGCCGCAAATTGGTGGCGAGGATGGTCGAACAAGAAAGTTGCCGGAGCAAATAAAGGGTGAGACTGAGAGGAAGGAAGGCAGAATGGGGTTGAGGTGTGCTCACACAATGTAGATCTTGGCCGCCATTGGTCAGCTTGGATACTTGGAGTTCTTGGAGATCTTGGATTAGCTAGTTGAAGAAGATGCAGTAGGATTGCAGGAATGAGCGAGATGCGGCCTGGCTCTCGGTGGCCGTGTTTATGGGAGGGAGAGCTCTTCTTCACGTGAGCGCGAATGGCCAAGACGAGGACCAGCGCGCTACCTGCGCGTGCCCCCGACCCAGATACGTGCAGTGCACGTGCATTTTTCTACACTTCAGGCCTGTTCGTCAATCCACCGCTCCAAGAAATACAAGAATCTACGAAGCATCTCTTTCTCCACTCCGTATTTTCAACTGAAGCTCGGGCCGCTCCGGGAGCGGAGTCGTGCGGAGCGGCGAGACTCCGAACAGGCCCTTCATTCACGCTACTTTTTTTCTTTTTGATTGGGTAAAAACACCCTCGTTTTTGACGTACACAACTCTTAATTAATTATTGCAAAATTTTCAAGCATTTCAAGTACGATTAAAAACAACTATAATGGTGAACCAAATTGGTTTTACAACCAACGGAAAACAGGCTTATCTTCACATATCATGTTATTAGTTTGTCACCCATATCGGTTGAATAAAATCCCCAACAACCTTAGGTTGCACCTAGAGTCCGTGGATGTCGCGTCCTTCTCCCGACGCAAAAAAGACCACATAGGGATCCAATAAATTACCTTGTAGGTGACCTCTAAAAAAATGTAAAATTCCTCATATTAGAGATATTATCATTGCGACAGTCTCATAAGCCCAAAGCAAAGCACCAACTCACTAGTTACCGAACAAATTCATAAATACTAGGGTGGAGTGGGGTGGGGTGGGGGGACTTTGGTATAACACCACAAAATCTTAGAAAGAGAACAATCTAGGGACATGTGTTGAATCGATTTCTCATTTCCCTAAAACAATATTTTGGGCAACCTTGCTATCTACACTTTTTGAGGTTGTCTTCGGTTAGGATCGCCCTCCTCTATAAATATAAATTTAAGCTTCTAAGGGACTTTAAGTTCCCAAATAAATTTATAGTTTTTTTTAGATAAAAGGCATGCGCCCGAGTCACATCACAGCCCCCAGAACAACACATGAGCCGAGCAGAACAGAGTTAAGACGTGCGAGTACATGGCAACCAGCCAAAGATGGCACGCGGGCCAGCAAAGAGTCCAAAAGAACCGGAAATTAAGCCATCCTCCTGGAGCGCCGCAACAGGGAAGACGCCGTAGATCTCATCTTAGATAACATGTCGTCGAATGCCTCTAGGTCCCCTTCCTTAGTCAATGATCTCCACTGTTGCAAAAAGACATTGGCTTTAAATAAGCAATTCACGGGGTTAGCCAGGAAAATGTGTTCGATAGTGAACTTGTTTCTAGTAGTCCATAGCGACCAACAGATCGCTGCCCAGCCAACCCAGAATACCCTCTTAGACTGGCCTGCTAAAGTATTAACACAACGCCGCAAATCCTCAAAAGAAGATGGATGCCAATTAACATGAAGCCAAAGTCTAATGCAACTCCAGAGGAATTTAGCCAAAGAGCAATGAAAAAATATATGATCGGTGTTTTCAAGAGCCCCACAAAGCGCACATCTATCAGAGCCCGGCCCGTTACTCTTCCTAATTTGATCGGCCGCAGGAAGTTTTCGCCGGAAAGCTTGCCACAGGAAAAAATTTATCTTAGGAGGAATACGAGCTGGCCAAATATCCTTGAATTTAGCTGTGCGGACACCCGAGATAAGTTTGGAGTAGGCAGATTTAACTGAGGAACGCCCCGAGGCAGTGTGAGGCCAGACCACCGAGTCATCTTCCTCCGAGAGCAAGGGGAAGCAGGCAGTAAGACGTTGCCAATCATCCAACTCCATAGGAGAAAGAGAACGCCGGAAATCAAGGACCCAGTCGTGAGCCGAGAGCTTAAAGATAGAGATCTCGGGATCAACGCAATACGAGAACAGGGTCGGGTAGGCCACCGCAAGCGTGGTATCCCCTACCCACCAATCTAACCAAAAACAAGTGGATTTACCATCCCGAACTACAAATTTAACAAGGGATTGGAAGATCGCTCGAACTTTAACGAGCTGGCGCCAAAATTGAGAGCCACCAGAGGAGGAGGCGAACATAGGGCTCGAGGAGGGGAAGTACTTAGCTTTGAGAAGAGATAGCCAGGTGGGACGCTCCTCGAGGAACATAATCTTCCACCACCATTTTATCATGAGGCACTTGTTCATGACCAAAGTATTAATGATGCCTAGGCCCCCCATGGTCTTAGGTCTGCAAATTAGGTCCCACTTAACCATCCTATATTTGCGCTTATTATCAGAGGAGTTCCAATAGAAAGCACCCCTATGCTTGTCGAAACCAGCATGAATCCCTTCGGACAAGAGATAGAAGCCCATTAGAAACATCGGAAGGGAGGATTGGCACGCATTAATAAGGGCAACCTTGCCCGCCTGGGAATTATAACGGCCTCTCCGCGGCAAAAGTCTATTTCCTACTTTAGTCACTGTCAGGGCAAAATCTTTAGCCAAGAGCTTGAGAGGGGAGATTGGTAGGCCCAGGTATTTGAGAGGATAAGACCCTAGAGAACAATTGAGCAGATGAGCCACTCTCTGAGCATCCGAATCAGGCACCCCAGTCACAATAACTTCGCTCTTTGAAAAGTTGATTTTAAGACCCCGAAAGCGCTTCAAAGCATAAGAGGAGAAATTTCAGGTTCGTGAGGCTGTCCTCATTAAGTTCAACCATAATAATGGTGTCGTCCGCGTATTGAAGGTGAGTGATGCCATTGGGGATAAGGTGAGAACTAACAGGCGTAATGTGCCCAGCAGTAGCTGCTCGAGAAAGGATATGAGAGAGAGCATCCACAATGAAATTAAAGAGCAACGGGTACGCCAGATCCCCTTGTCTAAGGCCCCTACCATTAGCAAAGAAGTTACTAATCTAACCATTCACTGCCATAGCCGTGTGCCCACCCGAGACAAGCTGCATAAGACGGTGAACCACCGCTCCCTCGAAGCCCTTATCAAGAAGAACTTGGCGAAGGAAATTCCAACTCACCGAGTTATAGGCCTTTTCGAAGTCAAGCTTAAGAAGCACAGCCTTAGTGCCCTTGGTCCGCAAGTCATGGACTATCTCATGCAGGCAAAGCACCCCGTCCAAAATAAATCTCCCCTTTATGAACGCAGATTGAAAAGGACCAATGACACGATGGGCGATCGGAGAAACCCTAGTTGCCAAACCCTTAGCCGGAATCTTCGCAAAGTTGTTAATTAAAGCAATGGGCCTAAACTGGGAAATCAAGTCAGCACCTTTGACCTTAGGGATGAGAGTGAGTACCGCGTAATTCAGTCTAGAGATGTCAACAGTTCCCAGCCAAAAACCTTGTGTAATAGCCTGAATGAGGCCTTTTAACTGAGGCCAGAACTGCCGAAAGAAAGGAATGGAGAATTCGTCAGGCCCGGAAGCCGCATTAGAGTTGGCAGATCGAATCGCTTCAAAAATCTCCTCTTTAGAAGGGGGAATCATCAGACTCTCATTTTCAGAACTCGACACCTGTTCGAGGGGAGACCAAAAGGACGGCGCCAACCTAAAACCCAACTCAGGTTTAGCAGATAAGAGGTTAGAAAAGAAGTGGACCACGTGCCGCATAATCACAGACTGATCAGAGACCCTGAAGCCCTCAATAAGGAGACTATCAATCAGGCATCTCCGACGTCTACCGTTTGCAATGGCAAAGAAATAGGCCGTGGGCGAGTCACCCTTTAAGGTCCAGTTAATAGTGCATCTTTGCTTCCAATATACTTCCTCTGACGATGAATACCCAAAAGAGCCTCTTCAAGACCGTAGCGGATCTGCCATTCGGCCGCGGATAGGCCTGGATTATCCGCACGAGCATCAAGCACCTCAATTTGAGCAACCAGCCTAGCTTTGTCCCGCCTTGACTCAGCATAATGGTTTTTAGACCAACCTCTAAGGAATCTACGAAGAAAATAGGAGCATTGATGCCAGTGTCCATCGGGCCAAAAGATCGGCGGTTAGAAGACAGGAAAACCGAAATCTTTTGCGCAATCAAGTCGGCGAAACCCTCCACTTGGAGCCATGAAGCATCGAACTGAAACCTCGGGAAGGCAACCGAGCAATTACTATCATCAAGAATCAGGGGGGAGTGATCAGATCCCACTATAGCTAGGGCTCTGAGGCTGACACGGGGAAACAGCGAGTCCCAACTAGGACACACGAAAACCCGATCAAGGACAGAACGTATGGGAGAGGTTTGGCGATTCGTCCAGATGAAACGGGCCCCAACCCTAGGGATTTCATGGATAGCCGTGTCCCTAATGAAAGCATTGAAAGCTTCGGCCAGTGGCCATGAAAATTAAAGGAACTCTTATCCAACGGGTATCGCATCAAGTTGAAATCGCCCCCAATCAAGAGTGGCAGCTGACAGGAATCAATTTTATTACTAAGTTCATCCAGAAAGATATAAGACATAGAATGATCAGCCGGACCATAAACCACCATGATTTCAAGTAAAGAGTTAAGGGATCGATGAGAGACCATCGTGCTAGCCCAAAAAATGCCATGATCAAAAGCGACAAAATCAACAGCATCTTTTTTGGTGCCAAGAAGAAGATCACCCGAGTGACCATGAGGGGGCACAAAATAAATTTACCGTTAAAAGGTTGGATATCATTGATGAGGTCCGAACACATAGATATGGCAGAAAAGCCAGAAGTTTTAAGCTTCCACCAAAAGATGTCCGGTTCATATGTGAGGTTGGCCGCTATCAACCTATAAGGCCATCTTCAATGCTAAACACTTATTCAAGCCCTTATGAAAAATAAATAAACACCGTCAAAATAGAAAACCATCAGTGTTTTCTGTTCCAACGGCGAATGCTAATTATGGGTGCTACTAAAATAGTCGTTGCACAGAGTTTTCTTTCGCATACGAACAACAAATGCCCAAGGGCTTGGCACCAAGTCTTCCGCCAATGCCAACCTCGACTGCAGC